AATACTCATATATATTAACAAGTTTGGGTGTTGTTTTTTGGCAAGTGCTGTGAAAAATCTTATAATTTCAATGTAATTTGGTATTTCTTTGTTGTTGATATCCAATCACCTCTTTGTGAATGAGTATGAAACTACCTTCTGGTCTTTCCCTACAGAGAACTTATGCATGTTCACAGTTTCTGAGCTGAATTACTTTCAAATTTTAATATCCGTTCTGGAAGATTTCACAATATGTTATTAGCAATAAAGACGTTATGCCTCGACCAGACATATCTATAAAACCAAGCACTTAAATTCTTCCTGACAAAAAAGAATTAAGGTTTAGAATAAAGGGAAAAACAATGACAACTGTATGAATGAACTTTCTTAAATATAACAATTTTCTAAAATTAAAGGAGATTTATCAAGCTTTGGAAAACTTAAAGGCTTATATCTAATCACAGGAAAAGAACATGCCATATAAAAGCCTTGTAAAGTATCTATGACCTTTCCAATGTAGCTAATTAAACTCCTCTGCCCTAACTTCATAAATACAGCACTATCTGAATCAAGTAACAATTCCTACATAACACAGGTGTATGAACATTAGCAAAAAATACACACTTATCTACTTACTTTGTATCCTATTGGATTAAGTTTAATGGGATGTCGCCATGACAACTTCATACTGTGAGTTGTAATCCCATATGCTTGAAGATTATTGGGAACATCTACAGACCAAAGTAAATTATGTACACAACATTATCTCTGGAAACATGTTAAAGGGATATAGCTACAAACTGAATTATGTAAACAAAATTATCTCTGGAAACGTGTTAAAGGGACAGTTTGTAGTGATATCTTTAATATGTTTTCAGAGATACTATTGTGTACATAACTCAGTTTGTAGTTATCAGTTATGTACACAATAGTATCTCTGAAACATATTAAAGGGATATAACTACACACTGAATTATGTATGCAACATTATCTCTGGAAACATGTTAAAGGGATATAACTACAAACTGAAATATGTATGCAACATTATCTCTGGAAACATATTGAAGATATAACTACAAACTGAGTTATGTAGACAAAATTATATTTGTTTAGAACTGGATGATTAGTGGATTTTGCTAATTGGTTAATCATAGGGGTCATTAATTAATTACAGTTAATTGATTATTCTCACACAAGACTTGGTTAGTTGGAGTAATTGAAAATAGTAACAATCATAAACAGTAGTGTCAGTTAGTTGATTATTTTTGTGAATCATGATACTAGTAAATTATGTTGATCAACAAACTTGAACCAAAGTAAAATAACAGTGATAAAGTATAATGCCAATTTTTTGATTACTTAGATAGTTGGAAGAACGGAAAACAGTAATAATGGAAAACATTAACTTTAATAAATTGATAGTTTCATGACTTAATTGATTTAATCATAATTTCAATTAATTATATTAGAACTGATTAATAAAATTAAATGTCTACCTCTATATTTTTGATGAATACTTTTGTTTTATTTTTTTAGCTGTCCTTTTGAAAAGTCATTTTCAAATATTACAAATGATGATAAACTTGACAAGATGTGTAATTGTAAGAAATATAAACAATGAGTTATAAAATGCATAATAATGACTCATTTAGAATAACATAGGATATCATCTAATTGTTAATTACAGAATTAAAAACTCTTCTAAAAATATAAAAACTTTTAAACAAAGATGCTCTTACAAAACAATACATCAAGTACTATTTTTGTAATTTTCAGTTAAAATCGAGTCTATCCCAAGCTGTTTCCCGACTCACCTTGGGGGCTAACCTTCACGGTTATTATCTCAGAGAGTCGTCCCACACCTTGACGGGTGTATGCTCCTACTCTAATTGAATACTGACCATGGGTGTCGAGTCCAGTTAATTCTGCTGACCAAGTGAGAGGAACTTCTTTTAATCTCCAAAGATCTAAATCCTCTCCAGCAGTTTGTGTAAAGAGCACCTGGTATGTAGTTGATTGAATGGTTAATTATTAATATATGTTTGTTGATATGTCATAGTTACAAATAATTGCCACTTCTTTTTTAAAAATTATTAATGGATTCTTTTCGATGTTATACACTAGGATCAAAATAATTTAAAATTTGGGAAATCACACTGAATCAGTTCATACTCACGAAGCATACTTAAATCAGAATTCCTACTTCTCTAACTTCAAAACCAATCTTGCATGTTGTCTTGTGTAAGTGTATGAAACTGAAATTACTGCATATGTAGATATATATATAAATATAACAACTGCATGAATCATTACCTCCACTACTGAAGGTGGATGGAGGTTATGTTTTCACACCTGTGTGTGTTTGTCAGCAAGATTTCTCAAAAATGGCTAAATGGATGTGGACAAAAGTTGGTATACATTTGGACTGTGACCCAACTTAGAAGTGATTAGTTTTTTGGAGGGTCGAGGTCACGAAAATAAAAAATCCCCATCTGTTAACACAGGGACTGATTTTTCACACTATTTTTCCTCTGAAACTCAGTCAAAAAATTATCAGATTTTGATTAAACTTGGTGGACATATGAAAAATATTATTTCTCATTTTTATGTCAAAAATGGTCTGTTTCTATTGATAATGACAGGTGTGCGGATAGATTTTAGCATTTTTTGAGGGCCGAATATTATCAAAGCTGTGAAGCAGATGTATGAGCTCTAGTGAATGCCCCTCTAGTTGTATTAAAGTAAAATATCAAAATATTTGCAAGTAAAAAACTGAAGAAAGAGATTAATCAGGATATTATTCAACAAGTGATTCAAGTTTAATAGTCAAAATAAAGTGAATATAAACACTGAAAATATTTAAAAAAACAGAAATTACCCGATATCCCAGAATATCTAAAAAATAAGGAACTTCATCCCACCAGACTTCTACAGACTGGTCAGAAGTTGCCATTGCTTGTACATTTGTAGGAGCAGAAGGAACATCACCAGGGGTATGGACATTCTCTAGCCTGCTCCATGGTCCAAACCCTGCAGAGGTCATGGCACGGACTCGAAACAAATATTCCGTGTTCTCATCCAAGTCACTATTTAAAGTAAAGAAATACAAGTATGTTATAAAATAAACAACCACATAAAAGATGTTTCCATTCAAGTCATTAGTTAAAGTAAAGAAATATTAATATGTTTAACTCTATCTACATGGGCTCAGGCAAATTGACTGTCCATGTGACAACTTTGTACTCATTTAAAGTCATTATAGTTTTGATACTATTAACTTTTAATATAGTATGTGTATCTTCACAAACTTTCAATAAACATTACAAGTCTTTTACAAACAAAAAATCTAAAACTAAAAAAATATTTTTATCCATGAATATATATAGTCTTTTTTTTTACTAGTCCAAGTGCAATGCCATTTTCATGCTAAGATTAAAAATACTTTTCTTCATCTCAAAAATCTCAAATTTAATTTGTGTAATCTCTAAAACCTCCTAAATACATTTCAAGCTTTATAATTGATCTATTGTTTTTTTTCTCTACCCGAGCTCTATACAAAGTGAGTCAATTTGACCAACCTCATAACCACCAAAAAAATCTAAATAAATCTAAATTGCCCTTTTTTCTTTCTGTACAAAGTGAGTCAATTTTACCAACCTCATAACCACCAAAAAAAAATCTAAATAAATCTAAATTGCCCTTTTTTCTTTCTATACAAAGTGAGTCAATTTTACCAACCTCATAACCACCAAAAAAAATCTAAATAAATCTAAATTGCTCTTTTTTTCTTTCTAGAATGACTTCCAATTGTAACATGAAACAACATTTCTTTATCCTAACTAGCTTTAAACTCGTAATGGTATACATATATTTATACTAAAATTTTATTGGTTTATTTCCCTTTGAACCATGTCTAACTATTATTCCTGACATTATAACTTGTAAATCACTCGGGGAACATGGAGATCATGTTACACTATTGAATTACATTACCAAGCAGCTACTCCAAGCTGCTCATGTGCATGCCTCGTGAAAATGTTTTAATATGATAACATTATTTATTTTACCTAATCTTACCTTAACTAACCTAAAGAGATTCATATTTTTACATTTTAGTTATTTTTATAACAATAAATAAAGAATACACATGAAAAACAAGAAATAAAGTACTTATCTAGACATTCTTTTTTTTTGCTGTCAACTGTCAATGACACTTAACCCTACCTTTTTTATTATACTAATGGTAGTAGTGTATAAAATAATTTTTATTTAATTAAATAATGCACCAAAAAACATTGAATAATAACATGCAAAAGCAGACAACATCCTATAACTATCACAATTTTTCTGGCTTTCTAACTACACACCAAGAGTCATTACAAATTCATCCAAGCTAGTCGATATGTTTCCCAGGGGAACAAAGCTTGTACTAAAAGAGAAACTGACAATTCTCTGTTCAGAAAACAACGTATTATAAAACATCATTTGATAGATAAAAACCTTGGCTTTCTATTGGTTACAAATAATATAGTATTAAACATAAAAGAGAATTATTAACAGATCCTGAAAGAGAGGATGTGACAAGTGTGTGTGGCAATAAGGGTCTGATTTTCTCTTTGATGGCTCTATAAATAAGCAAGATTGAATACTAGGAAAATTATGCTTTGTTTGAGCAATTATATTATAGTGAATAATTTATGTTAAATTTTGCACTGACTGGAGAGGTGGTGAATAAATTAGAGAGGATGGTATGATTAGAGAAAAAAAAAGGCATTTCTCACACCAGGGGAAATTAAAGTTTTTTTTTTAATATTGGCTTATAAAACTTATATACTATTAAAATATGAATTATTAGGTACGATTTTATGCTATGCTAATTGGTATAACATAAATAAAAAGTAGTTAAATTAAATTTTGAATGTAACTCACTAAAAACCTCATGACATGTGCAGTAAAGGATGCCTATGAATGTTTTAGTATAAACTACCATATAACAGATGTTTCATACAAGTAACTATTTCAAGAAAAGAAATATCATTATGTTTTAATATAAACTACCATACAACAGATGTTTCCAAGTAAAGAAATATCAGCATGTTTTAATATAAACCACCACATAAAAGAATCATTTTCTGGTGATAATTCCTTTATTACAGTAATAGCTTATGTGTATTAACTAAACAGTGGAAGAGGGGAATAACATACAAATTTGTATTAATTCTTCACATTCCCTAATCTTTTGCTCACAGAGAATCCAAACAACTACAAGCACCACTGAGTATTGTCTAATGTTTATATTCCAAATAGAGGGGCATTACCTGAAGACCAGACGAGTTAATGTTGTGTTCTTTGTTTCAGGATTCTGATCTGAAGCTCGATGAAACTGAATTTGGTATAGGACGATTTTTCCATTACTGTACTGTCTCAGTGGTGGACTCCACGTGACTAGAACGGTCGTTGGACTCTGGAGATGGTTGCTGATATTTTGTGGTGGAGCTGTTGGTCCTACAAGTTAAAGAACAATCTTTAGGATTCAGTGATTAGATTCTTGCAAACATTTATTAATTTTTGGCCTGTAGGCTACTGACAATGTCACTAAACCAATGATTTATTCAAACAAGATACAAGTTAATCAAATACAACAAAAACTTTCTATTGACTTTAAAAGTACCATTTCAAATATAACTTAATTATTATAATTAACCTCTTTTCTTAAAATATCACAAGGTTTTGCTTAAATGATGACATTACCAGCACAACTAATTAGTTTGAAAGTGTTTTGTTAACTCTACTGATATATATAATTTTATATCAGTATATCACATAACTACTTAAAAACTGTTCTAAATATGATTCATTATACAAGAAATATTACAAGGCTCCAACAATATGGCTACACAGAATAAAACAGTGCTAGTGGGAAAAACAACTACATGCTATATTTTTACTTTCAAATGTTGTTGTTGTTAATATTATTATTGAAAATTAATTAATCAAAAATTAAGGCTAAGTGAGAAAAATATGAGGTTTAAGGAAGAGACAGGAATACTGGGTTATATAGTGTTACATAGATGCTTTTATACTACTGATTTATCAGTATACAGATACGTCTTAAATATTGTAAGTCTGGCTAATATAATATTATCCTGTTAGAAATGTATCACTAATTCTTGAAACCTCTGTGTTTCAACAAATAACACTCACGGCCTTCAGGAGTATCTAGTTGAAGAACAGCCTCTTGTCCCCACCCTACTTGATTTTTTCCAGCTAGTCGGAACTGGTACTTAGCACCACGATCTTAAACAAAACACCAAATATTTCATAAAGAAAAAAATATAAAAAGGATGAAGACCATTTCAACATGTTTCTGGATATAACAATTTAAAGCTGATAGCCATAAACTATAGAATGTTAGAGATTGTGGGTATTTGAGAAGAGCCCAATTATCTTTAAGAATATATTAAAATAAACTGCAAGTATCAAATTTATTTCATATACTTATATTAAAAAAATTCTCTCTCTTTTTATACGTAAAGTTACATATTGGTTCCTGACCAAAATATATCATACAACAATTTACTTATAGCTTTACACATAAGCCTATATATAATTCCAGAATTTCTGTTCCTATCCAAGACATGCTGTGCAACAATTAAACTTTTAGGTAAAGAAAAGCTGAAGATAATACTCAACTAAATATAGAAAACAAAGTTTTTATTCTTTACTAATTTGAACAATAAGAAAATCTTTCTCAATTCCATAATAATAAACTACAAATGTTCTTGATAACTTCACACAAGTTAAATTCACAAAGTGGTGAGCAATCCAGGTGCTATTGTCATCTGTATATAAAAATGTATCATTTCAATTTGATTCATACTCATATAAGAGTTTGTGTAAAATTTTAAACAATTATTTTTCAGTATTGAGTAATTTGGAGTAAAAACAATTAAAACTACAGTGATATTGCTGAGTACTCCTTTAAATTAATTTGTAGTGTTATCATAATAACAGACAATATTATACTGTACAAAACTATCAGTGTGAAAACAAGTAATGCTTTGTCTGATCTAATTTTGCCCAGTAATCATTCTCTACATCTGTTTTTTTTACATTCAGGTTTGTTTTTTTTTGCATTTGAATTAATACTAATTCATAAATACCAGATGAGAAATATATGTTATGGAATTTACCCAAATCTTCAATGACTATGTACGTGTTGCTGGGTTGAATTTCTTTTTGTTCCTTATGGGTTCCATCTGCACGGCTAAACTTCAAACGGTACAACTTAAGATCTCCATAAACATGGGAAGGTGGAAGCCATGATACATTGACGCTAACTAGAGGGTCCTGTTTCAATACTTTTAATATTAACTCTGGCCTTGTAGGAACTGGAAAAATATTATTTATGCTATAGAAATGCCGTATTTCAGAGGTTTCCAATTGTTAACCAATTTTCATTTATGATGATAAATGTTTTAAGAAAGGGAAAAGCCAACAGTATATACATGTATGAATACTGCACATACAAATTCATTATCATTTTAAAATTCTTTGTATTGTAACATACAAACTCTACACCAGAGAGAGGATAGAACAACAAAAAATCCACATAATGCAGAGCTGAAGAAAATATATTAATATAAACAATTTAATGACCATGCATTTTAGTATAATAGTATTTTAGACTTTGTAATAAATAAAAATAAAAAATTAACAGAGAAATGCTTGAAAGGTTCATAGGTTTTGACACAAAGAGTAATAAATCAATATCTTTAGGTAAACATTCTGTATAAAAACAAATAAAATTTTTGTTTTATACTGTATCTCTGGTTTCCTCTGTTTATTTCGATAGTTCTTATAAATAAAATTATGACTAATTTCACTGAATATTTTAGAGCATTCTGACAATACATAATCCTTATAAGATTGCTAATAAATACATGAATTTTACTGGTGTTTTGATTAACAATTTAAACGAATAACCACAACATTAAGTCATTAGTTTGTTTATAAATGTTGGAGAGGATTTGTAAAACTTTTCTGTAACAAAAGCAAAAATGATCAGAATGGTTCAACACAGCCTATGTGATAGAATACCTAAAAATAATAAGAACAATTAATATCCATAGATTAAAGAATTAAGACAATTATATCCATCAAGATTAACAGATAAAATAAAATAATTGGCAAATCCAACACTTCAAAATAAGGTAGTATACAAAGAAACAAAAACTAACATAAAATCAGTTAAAACAAACAAAAAAAAACTGTTATAATAACATATGATAAATGGAAATAGTAATAACTTAACATAGAAATTTAAGAATTTCAAACATCTAGCTAATTTCACAGAATGCCCTTTTGAAGGTTAAACAGTCATTTCTTGATTTTCATTTAAATGATTATTCTCTGATATTTCCATTTCATTAAGATATAAGCAAAAAAACCTCTATATAAATGACAAGTTAAAGTAACAAGCAAAACATTTTATGAATTATTATAACAAATATAACGATGAGAGTTCTCACATAAACACTGTAACAAGTACAATTTCTTTTAACTATCAAACTTAACAGTTTATTGTTGAGAAACACATTAAGAATTTTTTACTGCATATTAAAATAGCTGTATCAAAACTTCTGTATATTGGCTTAGGATAAATACATTAAACAACAACTACACATGGCAAAACACATGCAGTAAAAATAATAAATCATTAACAGATATACAAATATTACACTTGTTATAACAAAAATAATGTCTTGCCTTTATAAATACTGTATAAATTAAAGTTGTATATGTTTAGATATAACTGTAGTACTGCTAAATTTACTAAGTGCTTTTAAAATATTTAAGTTACAACAAGCAAACTTACTTACATGAAATGCATGTTCCTGAACAATATAAACATATAAATCTTTTTTTTTGCTAGGTTATGAGGACAGATAACAAATGTCATGGGTTATTAAAAAAAAGATTGTGCTTAATCAAACTTCTATTAACTGTATTTATAAATACACAGACTGGACTTTAGTACATATACAACTTTCTAGGATAGCAAATTCAATACATTAATTCTACTTTTAACAGAACTGACTATCTTGCACATGCTTTGCATCCTCTGATGTATTTTATTGACTTAAAAACTATTTTCATAGACCCAGACACTGAAATATAATTAACTTAAGTGTAAAACAAGCTTCTATTAAATTCAAGAAACCATATATTTAAGAGCACTTTACATCTTTGTAACATAAAAAAATAAGTGAAATCAAGTTTTTCTAAATCTAAACAGTTTGAAATAAGACATAGTCCTCCATCTTTGTGATAATAAATTCTTAGGAGAAGAAATGTGTTATATTTTTACATTGTTTTCATCAAAATACTAACGACATTTTCTTTGTTAACTAAAAGTTAAGAACTCCTAATTAGCACCATCAACAAAGTCATAATGCACAAGAAGAAAGAAAAATTTATAACCAATTTCTGTATTGTCTTTATGTTTAAAAGAAAAATCTCAATGTATTTATAAAAAAATGTTATTTTTGTCGTCTCTAAAAAGAACAGAACTTTAAAAGGTCTTTCAATTAAGACCAAAGATCCAATACCTAAATATGAGCAATGAAATATTATTCATAGTGCTAAATGTTATAGTAACAAGCAGTAAGTCAGCCTCCTTAGATTCACATTAATGAACATGAAAAATCACCTACTTCCTTTTACTATCAGGCAAAATCAGCTGCCACTGAACAGAAGTTTAGTTGCAGAGAAAAAATCCATACTAAGGTTATTGAAAATGAACCAAATACCACAATAAGGGCAATAAATAAAACCATATCCATTAAAAGAAGACAAAAACACAATTTGAATCATAACTATGGTTGAATAAAATCAGTGAAATAAAATTCTGTTGACTTAACATTGTTCATCAGTTACTTATATGCACTGCAAGCTTGATTATATTAACTTGTAATAATACATTCTTTTGACTTTGTTAGTTTTACATTGATATTCCTTTTTTTAAATGTTCAGTATAAGTGAACATGCAAACAATGTATGATTTTTTATGTAGTTTTGTTATAATTAATCATGTATATATATAAAAATATTCATTTTATTGATATTGCATACGCTATCACTTATGTTTATGACACTGTTAACAGTCGCATGTTAAGTAATATTCTACATTTTTGCATTTAAACATAATGTACGTATTCAAGTTTTCTATCACCTGATGGACAGCTTGCATTCAATAAATACATTGTGGAGTTAGCCCTAAAGTATATTTTGTTAAGACACAGATAAAGTAAAAGTTTACTAGAAGATTTATGTGTGCTTAAAAATTATTATCAGCTTCTGATCAGAATATTACATTAAAAATCAACTTAGCAATTAGTATAGCCAATTAATATACTTTTATTCATTTCTATTTATAAAGATTAGAATACACAGTTCCATCAGTTGGGTACCTTTGCCGTTAATGATATTTTTGGCAGGACAGCATTTTAAAAGCTTGCCCAAGGCAGTAAAATACTTAAAACCTGACCTGTATGTGTGTGTGTGTATATATATACACACACACACACACATATATATAGTTAATTTTATGTGGATTACATACTGGTATGTAGTTAATTCTATATTGGATTTGGTAGTGACTTTTGAAGTATATTAACTACATATGCAACTGCACGACTTGATTGGCTATTATACTATACTGAAATTTCTATTCTTTAAGATTGTCATGATATTGGAGAAAAATAATTCTTTGGTATGTGTTTTAATGTAAATGTAAGTATTTTATTATAAAATTACAAAGGTTATAGATACAGTAAGCCTCACTGATTACCTCCACCAGTTGTTTGACTATTATACTATACTGAAATTTTTATTCTTTAAGATTGTCATGATATTGGAGAAAAAATAATTCTTTGGTATGTGTTTTAATGTAAATGTGAGTATTTTATTATAAAATTACAAAGGTGATAGATACAGTAAGCCTCACTGATTACCTCCACCAGTTGTTTTAGCTATTTGAGGATGACTGCGGGTTCCATCTCCCTTACGAGTCACAGCAGCCACTTGCACGGCATAAGTTGTGTCTGGTTGCAGACCCGTTACATTATACTCTTCTGCTTTTTCATTGGCTACATCATATCGAATAGGCTCATTGACTAAATCCCCATCCAAGTTTTTCTCCTGCACATGAATCTGAAAACCTCTGATCAGTCCATTTCTTTCATGAATTGATGGAAGCTTCCACTGGACATTCAAGGAGGTACTGTTTATTACTTTGACCTGGACTTGACGAGGCTCACCTGGTACTAGACAATTAAGATTACCAAACACACCATATTAAATAACAAAAAATTATTATAGAAATATTCTTTAATAAATTAAAACTACTAGCATAAAATGAAAAACAATATAAAGTATTAATATTTATTATCATTAATGTGAAGAAAAGAATGGGCAGTAATAATACCAAATAAAAAACAATAAAAGAACCCAAACTACTTGAAAACATCTACGAAACAAGCACACCAGTAAATTTATAAAATCAACTACTTTTATGAAAGTGGCAAAAGAAAGAAGGGATCAAAAATGATTACTATTACTACTACTACTACATCTTATAAAAATGCACCTGGTTCTAACAAAGAACAGTCTTGATAAACCTGATGAACATTTAAACACATTAAACTTACAATACTTTTCTGAGTTAATTACCAATTGTAGAAGATTTTGATACAATAATTCCACTAGATTTTTCACTCCAAAAAAAAACAACCTTCTTTGACTCACAAACTTTATTTGTATAAAATTTGTACTTATAAATATAATTTTGCTTTTAAACATATTTTAAGATTAAATTGAAATTATTTTGGGTTCAATAATAAAATATTACGAGACTTAGAAAAAAAAAGGAATCAAAAACCAAACAATGATTTTTTTTAACAGAAATTGAAAATAAAAACAATAGTAGTCTTTTATAGTTTTTCACAAACTTAAATAACATTAAAAAAGCTATAGTTGGCTAACTTCAAATGCAGATATAATGGTTTAAGTCCAATCTGAAGCCAAATATATTTATCTGGACTAAGTAATTGTGAAGATAAAATTAGCAATAGTGGATCTGTTTCAATGATCATTATACATGAAATTCTTACAAGTAAACAAAGGAAAATCACTTGGGAAAGAAAACTAACAAAACTACACAGTGTTTTTATGACTTAGCTGAACCAAGGTGTTTGTTTTGTTTACTGGCATACCAAATGATTTATTAATAAGTCATAGCACTATATTACAAACCAACATTCAACCAATTTGCTAAAAAAATGAGACATTTTGTAAATCAGAATTAACAGCTGAAACTCAAGTTTTGAATAATAATAATAATTTGATATAAGAATTGTCAAATATTTTACTTGGTTTTTCAACCTGAAAGTTTCCAGAAAAGGCATGACCTTATTTCTTTATCTGCAAAATTTGAAAGGCTCCACATATATAAAGGTATATCAACTGATATCAAAATTATAACAGTGTATGATAATTGATATCAAACTCTGAATATAAATGTTTGATAATTGATTTCAACTATATAAAAACAATTTGATATCATGAATCTATAGTAGGAAGATATAGTTGATATTATAGTCTGAAGAGAAAGGTATGATAATTGATATCAAAAATATCTATTAAAATATGTGAGGATGATATCAGAAGTCTGTGAGGTATGATAATTAGTATAAAAAATCTATATATCAAAGTATTTGATGATGATATCAAAAGTCTGTAAAGTATGGTAATGGATCTACAAACCTTGTATATGTGAAATAGGTACAGATTATAAATCTAGTTACTAGAAATGAAAAATTAATTTCTATTCATTTTTGGGCATTTATCTTATACCTTTCACTAATTCTGCCCTATGAGATATTTCTGTGATTGTGATGAAACTTTGTTTCATAATCCAAAACTATTAGCATAAAACGAGGAAAAAAGTAAATATATTTTGATACCATATATTTTCAAGTACGAGTGTAAGAAATAACATGCAGTTGATGACAGCTAAAAAAACAATAAAAATATGTACTACTTGTAAACAGAAAGGAATAACTTCTAAAGAATAAGAATATACATTTAATCCATAAAATCATGTAATATAGAGGGTTGAGTATATTATATGAAAACGACTTTGAATATGTAAATCAGCAAGCCACAAGACCACCACAGCCAACAAAAAAGTTGAGAAGCAACAGCATGTACCAGAACACGTTTTGCGACATTGTTGGACCTTTATTTTTGAAGTGTTATGCCCCCAAAACTTATCACTTTTAAGAAGGGTATGTAACAGACCTTTCTGACACATCTTTATGATCTAAACTGTGTGTTTAGATGGGTATGCTACATTAAATAAAAGAGAAACAAGAAAGTAAGAGTGTGATATCAATCCTTATAATTAAAATTTGT